TAAGCACTCCTGCATTCAGCAGTACATGAATTCTGACACATCTCTGGATTCATGCAGAACAAGCAACAGAAAGAATAAAGTTTATTATTAAAAGAAAGTGCATTCTTGTGAACGTACATCTATTAGGAAGTGCTGCCACTCTTGACCATTGGAAAGTCTACAGATGACTTACTGTTGGTTTCAAGACTTTCACACAGTTCAGTTTTGACCTCGCCATTTGGTCGGTCATTTCCTTTTTGGGTCAGTTTGCTCTGCATTGTGGCAGCTGTCACAACAGCCTTGAAGCTCCGCTTCCGTTTTTGAACATTCTGCTCTGGATGAAAAATGATAATATAAACCTTGGGCATGTAGAGCATGCCCAGAGACACAGAAGCACTTAAACTCATGGAGATAGTAAGTGTTGTTGTCTGGATGTACATCTGGGGAAGGAAAGAAACAACAACATAAAAATCATTATGTTGATTTTTAAATATAAGAAGGAAAATAAAGTATATAACTTCAAAATACTAGGTGGAAAGGGAACGAATAGCACTCTTCCTCTTCTGTACATACTTCAGAAAGACCCTTGATTTTGGTTGCCTTTAATTATAATCGAGTGTGGCTGTTTCATGTTGTTATTTTAACCTTAAGAAAAAATATATTCATAAAACTTCATACTCAAAAAAGTAAGCAAGATGCTGTAGCAATCACATCTTGAGAAAAGAAACAAATATGTCTGTACAGAAAAAGAGGAGTGACAACAGAGTTAACATTATATCATGTATTTTAACATGCAGAACCCTCTATAATAATATGCCATGTGGTTCAGTAGTGTGCTCAGCATGGCTCAACCAACAGAAGGCATAATGCAGGTTCTAATGAAATATTTAGTACACTCTTTGAGTTTCAAGCCTGTAAAAAAAATTGTTTGTTTGTTCTAGGGTTTGTTGAATGTTTTGTGGGTTTTTTTGCTGTTTTTAACATTTCCACCTTAGCGCTGAATTCTAGCCACAATGCTTTGTTGGCACACAACAAACCTCACAGTTCTAAGAAATCAGAAAATTGCGGAACCATGAAATCAGAACACAAAGAGACAATTTTACTTCACAATTCTGAATGGTTTCCTAAATTATGTAGGGAATCTCAGTAATCATGTTTTTATACTGAAAAAGATTCTGAAGTAAAACATGCTCATTGCCTTGGCAGAGGATTCACTGACACTGTTGTCAGGCATGGTTTTAAGCAGTGGCCAACACCATCACATTAACCTAGAGATAAGGTAGCAAGTCTGTCTGCAGTGTCAGCTTAAGTGCTCCTGGGTAACTTGGCCCTTGGCAGAAATGTAGAGATATAAGAAACTAGTGTGCTATTATTATTGCTAATATTATAGTTGAGCATTTTTAAATGTCTTTCAGCTTACAAAGTTTTTCCATTAGATACATTCTCCTTAGAGATCACAAATAAACTGTGTCCTCACTTAAAGCAATGCTGGGTGAGAAATGTGACAAATATATTTTGGAAGCATGGACTCTTGCTCTGAATCAGCCTGTGAAGTATCTCTATAATTGTATAGAAAACTGCCAAGTATTACCATAAAATGTGGGATAGCCCAACCTACCCCTTGAGAAAAGACTAATAATGCTTCACAATTTGTTGAACCTACTTTCAGGGAGAGTAGCAGACTGAAAAAAACAATTAGGATTGTGCTGAGAAAGTGATAGGAGCAATACTTTCCTTCATTCCAATAATACATTAAGGCAATACATCAGGAAACGTACACAATAGACTTTTCTCACACCAGTCAAATAATTCCATTCCTTTCAATCTCCAAAATGATATTCATGTGCCTGAAAGCTGAGCTTGACCTACATTTTGCATGAACACTTCTAATGAAAACCTCACACAGTTGCATTAATAAGCAATTGTTTTCAGCCATCTGTGGAAAGACCTCTATGCAGATGCATGTTCACATGCAAACAGCACCAATGACATATCCGTTTCTCTCTGAATCGAATTGGCTGATCTCCAATTAAACTGGTATGGCATTGGCTGTAGAGTGTGCTGGTTTTGGCTGTGATAGAGTTAATTTTCTTCACAGTAGTTAGTATGGAGCTGTGTTTTGGATCTGTGCTAAATACGGTGTTGATAATACAAAGGTGTTTTTGTTATTGGAAAGCAGGGCTTACACAGAGTCAAGGCCTCTTCTGATTCCCATGCCACCCCACCAGTGAGTAGACTAGGGGTGCACAAGAAGCCGGGACAGGACACAGCTGGGACAGCTGACCCCAGCTGACTAAAGGGATATTCCACACCACAGGATGTCATGCTCAGCAATATAAGGCTATGGGAAGAAGAAGGACAGAGGGGATATTTGGAGCAATGGAGTTTGTCTTCCCAAGTAACCACTACACATGATGGAGCCCTGCTTCCCTGGAGATGGCTGAACAGCTGCCTGCTGTTGGAAAGTAGCGAATGAATTCCTTGTTTTGCTTGGCTTGTGTGTTGCTATTGCTTTAACTGTTGTACTGTATTTATTTCAACAAACAGGTTTTTCTCACTTTTACCCTTCCACTTCTCCATCCCACTGAGGGAGGAGTGAGCATCTGTGTGGGGCTTAGTTGCCAGCTGAGGTTAAACCATGACATAGAGTTGTGTTGCATTAAGTGGTGTCCAAAAGCAGAAGTGTTTTGATGTCTAAAGATACATGCATCTCCTAATGGAATCTGAAAAACTGAAATCAATGCAAATAATAACTTTAACAGTAGTGCATATGAAAATTCATTACACTTAACAAAATCCTTTTCTGAAGTCTTATAATTTTATAAAATCCAACTCATGGCAGTTAAGTGGTTAGCTGAGCCTCACCTGCAGAATCTGTAAAAATGCCTGGTATTTAAATACATAATTGTAAAGTCCTTATGAAGTACCCAAGCCATCTTTCTCACATGGTTCAGTGTCAACATTAAATAAATAAAGACTATGAAGAACCTCTGGACGTTATAGTGTAAAATACATTCATTCATGCAATATAACTACTCATGTTAGCCACAAATACATGCATTATCTTAGATCTCAATGAGGTTTTTTATGACTTTAAGTCCCACAGTGCCAAGCTCTTACAAATAATAAAGAAAAAACATCTTCCTGAAGGTTTACATTCAATTAAGCTTTGTAAGTGAATCAACTCTAAATTTGATAATGCATTCACTGAAATAATAACAGCCCATGGATTTCAGTGCCTTTAGTGCAGGTATTTTGCATGAGTTGTATCATTATATCCAATGTATTTGCTGTGGATTTAATTGAAATGACCAGCACAACAGCCTATTTACAAAAATCCAAAATACAGTGAGTTTCACATTGCAGGTTAGAGTTCATATGCAGTGGGATTTATTTCTAATGATTGCAGTGTTTTTGAACCAGCCACTATAATTATTGAAACATTAAAACCAGAGTAAGTTGGAAATTTTCTGACGGAACAGTTTTCAAATAATGAATATAGTGCTTAGAGAGCTTTGGCCTCAGCGATCCTGTTTTGCAAGGATCACGCCTATTACTTACTCTTTAATGAAGCTAATGAGAAAGAAGAACTTCAGGAAATTTGCCAGACCTTGAAAGGAAGGCTTTGAACATATCCTTCACATCTACGCATTGCGTGTGGTATGTTCATCCATCTTACTCCATGTGCTAATGCAACTGCATACTTAGCTGAAGAGCAGCTGTCAATGATAGCCTGGGTCTGATTCCTTCCTACTAGAGTCATAGAATAGTTTGGGTTGTAAGGAACCTTTAAAAGTCATCTATTCCAACTCCCCCTGTAATGGGCAGGGACATCTTCAACTACATCAGATTGCTCTGAGCCCCATTCAACCTGACCTTAGATGTTTCCAGGAATGAGGCATCTAACAATCCCTCTGGGCAATCTGTTCCATTGTTTCACTACCCTCATTGTGAAAAAGTTCTTCCCTGTATCTAGTCTAAACCTACCTTCTTTTAGTTTAAAATAATTAACCCTTGTTCTATTACAGCAGGCCTTACTTCTTTTTAAGGTGTCTTTTGCAAGCTGAGATTCTGTTCATAGGACAGCAGCATATCCTGCATCTAATCTTTCCCATCTTTGGAATCTCTTTTCCTACAGCCTGATGAAACACAAGTCAAGCAAACAGGATACCACACACTTGTTTGGCTTTTGTCTGACTCAGCTTGTTTTATCCCTGAGAGGAGGGCAATAATGTTTTATGGATATGCATTCTGGGTACTTTTATTATTCTGGGAAGATAACTACCTGTAACTTTTACAGAATTAGCTTCTCTAAAAATCAAGAAGTAACAAAAGTAGTTGAGTTTAATAAGCTATGAGGTCTGAACAATTTTTCATGTGTCTCACACTGGTAGCTCACTCTAAGTTACAGAAAAATAAAGGTCCCTTCCTCACAATGAGTCATTCATAGAAATTAATTTCAGTGCTCCTCACACTAAAATGCCTTCTGAACTACAAAACTTTTGTCCAATAAAGCCTTTCACAGATGTAACAAAGACCACTGTGTCTATATTTCTTCTTGACAGTCAGAAGATTTAAGACAGAAAACTGAAATCATCCTATCACATCACAAGAAAAAAAAAGTATATATTGTGGGAAAAAAACTGAGGCCTAAATATCTTCCTGCCTCCATCCCCCACCCCAGCTGAACCCCAGCCCACCAGAACTGAAGCAGGACTTCTTATGCACTGTTTTCCACCTCCACAAATGGCAAAGGATCCCTCACAACAGACTGTGTCTCATGTAAATGATCTAGGTCCTGTGTACCCATGCAGAGACACGATCTGTCTACCCCACAAATGACCTGGGCCCTTTCCTCATCAGAAGGGCTCTACAAGCTTGATAATGTAGCCTCCGACTGCCTCAGCAGCTAAAATAGATAATGACAGTGTGGATATTTAGGGATTTTCTAACTTCCACCATTGATTCTAAGTCTATATATCTCTTTCTTTCTACTGTGGATCTTAAAATGTGACATAGGAAATAATGGGGCACCCAGCTATCTCTCAGCTTGGCTTCCCTGCTTAGAATTTAAATAACCAAGTCCCCAGTCGTGTCTCATCGGTTTGGTTCTTGCAGTGTCATGCACATAGCATTCATAAAGTTCAGCACAAAGCAACCACTTTCACTTGAGAAGAAAAATACTGTTAGTGTCTCAACCTTTGTCCACTTTGCTTCCTTGGTTTCAGTCCTCTTCTACTTTCACAGATAAGATTATATTTAGGCTGTCTTTAGAATTGCTTCTTTTCTCATGCTACTTATTTTTCTTTCTACTCAGTTTTAATAGATAAAGGGTACCTCTCACCCCTCCATGTATCCTGGATAGTTGGGAGATATGACTAATGTGGTTTCTCGAGTGAATTGAATCTAAGTTTTCTGCTTTGGTACAAGTTCTCTAGCT